CAATACATGGGCAAGGAACTGGCATTGGTGATAGTGCATGGTCATGAAACGGGCAATGGTGGCAATACATGGGCAAGGAACTATCAACACAAAGGCAATACATGGACAAGAATTGGAGAATGATAGCAATACACATGCAAGGAACTGGAAATGGTGGTATAACCTGGGGAAGAAACAGCCAATGGTGGCAATACATGTGCAAGAAACTGGAAATGGTGGTAATACATGTACAAGAATTGGGCAATGATGGTAATACATGGGTAAGAAACTGGCAATACATAAGGCAAGGAATTTGCATTGGTGGTAATACATGGGCAAGGAACTGTCAACACATAGGCAAGAAACTGACAATACATGGGCAAGAAATGGCCAATGGTGGCAATACATGGGCAAGGAACTTGCATGGTGGTAATACATGGGCAAGAAATGGCCAATGGTGGCAATACATGGGCAAGGAACTTGCATGGTGGTAATACATGGGCAAGAAATGGCCAATGGTGGCAATAGGTGGGCAGGGAACTGGCATCAGTAGTAAAACATGGACAATAATTGTGCAGGGGTGGCAATACATGGGCAAGGAACTATCAACACATAGGCAAGAAACTGACAATACATGGGCAAGAAATGGCCAATGGTGGCAATACATGGGCAAGAAACTTGCATTGGTGGTAATACGTGGGCAAGAAATGGCCAGTGGTGGCAATAGGTGGGCAGGGAACTGGCATCAGTAGTAAAACATGGACACTAATTGTGCAGTGGTGGCAATACATGGGCAAGGAACTATCAACACATAGGCAAAGAATTGGCAATGATGGTAATACATGGACAAGAAATGGCCAATGATGGCAATACATGGGTAAGGAACTGGCAATACATAAGACAAGGAATTTGCATTGGTGGTAATACATGTGCAAGAATTGGGCAATACATGGGCAAGGAACTGTCAACACATAGGCAAGAAACTGACAATACATCAGAAAGAAACAGCCAATGGTGGCAATCCATGGGCAAGGAACTTGTATTGGTGGTAATACATGGGCAAGGAACTTGTATTGGTGGTAATAAATGGGCAAGGAAACGGCCAATGGTGGTAATACATGGGCAAAGAACTGGCATTGGTGATAATACATGGTCATGAAACAGGCAATGGTGGCAATACATGGGCAAGGAACTATCAACACAGTAGGCAAGGTACTGGCAGTGGTTGTAATCCATGGGGAAGAAACAGCCAATGGTGGCAATACATGGGCAAGAAACAGCCAATGGTGGCAATACATGGGTAAGGAACTTGTATTGGTGGTAATAAATGGGCAAGGAACGGCCAATGGTGGTAATACATGGGCAAAGAACTGGCATTGGTGATAATACATGGTCATGAAACAGGCAATGGTGGCAATACATGGGCAAGGAACTATCAACACAGTAGGCAAGGTACTGGCAGTGGTTGTAATCCATGGGGAAGAAACAGCCAATGGTGGCAATACATGGGCAAGAAACAGCCAATGGTGGCAATACATGGGTAAGGAACTTGTATTGGTGGTAATACATGAGCAAGGAACGGCCAATGGTGGCAGTACATGGGCAAGGAATTTGTATTGGTGGTAATACATGGGCAAGGAACGGCCAACGGTGGCAGTACATGGGCAAGGAACTGGTATTGGTGGTAATACATTGACAATAATTGGGTAATGAGGAGCTAGCAACACATAGGCAAGGAACTGGCAATACATAAGGCAAGAAATTTGCATTGGTGGTAATACATGGCAAGATTTGGGCAACGGTTAAAACACATAGGCAAGGAACTGGCATTAATGGTAATACATAGACAAGAATTGGGTAATGGTGGCAATACATGGGCAATGAACTGTCAACACATAGGCAAGGAACTGGCATTACATCAGCAAACAATGGCATTGGTGGTAATACATGGCTCAATAAAGTAAAGGAACTCTTTGTAATCAGAGTCTAGCATCAAGTCAGTTAAACTCCTGGGATATCATTCTGGTCAGGTAAGTCGCAGAGGGGGTTGTTCATCAGTTTCAGCTGCTTTGGTGTTCATGAAATTAACAACAGGTGCACTAGATGGGCAACACAGGAATGGTTTTACAGGTGGAGGCCACTGACATTTTTTTCCCTACTCATCATTTCTGTTTTTCACTAGTTTTTGCATTTGTCTAGGGTCAGTGTCACTACTGCTAGCATGAGGCCATACCTGAACTCTACAGAGGTTGCACAGGCAGTCCAACTCCTCAGCATGGCACATCAATACGTCCATCAGAGAGCTGTGTCTCCCAGCACAGTCTCAAGAGCATGGAGGAGATTCCAGGAGACAGGCAGTTACTCTAGGAGAGCTGGACAGGGCCACAGAAGGTCCTTAACCCATGAGCAGGACCGGTATCTGCTCCTTTGTGCAAGGAGGAACAGGGTGAGCACTGCCAGAGCCCTACAAAATTACCTCCAGCAGGCCACTGGTGTGAATCAATTAAAATAAACAGTGTAGCGCTATCAAACTAAAAAATACGTGAATAAGTGATTAAAATACACAAACTAAATACATATAAAACCGTCCCCTTAGTATGCACATCGGGGAAGATTTACAAAATTAAATCAATCAATAGTGTCATGCGTGAATTCCCTCTCATAGGGAATATCCAGTGTACAAGGTGAAATGTACACCCTAATTAAATAATGTGAAAAGAACACAATAGTGCACATCAACTGTGAACAAATAATAATTTCCAAGATTTCAGAAAAAACGATGCTTATAGTGGTCCTCCCACTTCACTCTTCATGCAAATATCGTGCTGTGTATGTGATACACACGTGACAATCCTTCAATATCCGAAATGCCCCCTCACCTCCTTACTTAGACCCCACAGGGCCAGCTCGCTTTAGGGATCAACCGATCCTGTAAGAACAGATTCCTCTCAGGATTTCCCCTCACTGATGGTAAGCATCTCCAGCCTTCACCAAACTAGCAGCCAGCAACCAGCCTTCAACCTGCCTGCAAATTTAACACCGTGGACCATAACATATTAGATTGTGTAATGCTACTGAGGGAACAGTACTTGGCTCATTCAAAGCTTTATCAAGGAGGTCACAAAAAGTCACAGCAGGGATATACTTCACAAGACGCAGCAGTGGGCACATTCATTCTTAGTGCATACTAAGGGGACGGTTTTATATGTATTTAGTTTGTGTATATTAATCACACATTCACGTATTTTTAGTTTGATAGCGCTACACTGTTTATTTTAATTGGTTCATCTACTTATTGGGTATAAGGTTAGTGTCAGCAGTTTTTGAGGGCAGGACTCCATTTAAGCGCAGGAGGCTTCTTCTATCCACTGGTGTGAATGTCTCTGACCAAACAATCAGAAACAGACTTCATGAGGGTGGCCTGACGTCCTCTAGTGGGCCCTGTGCTCACTGCCCGGCACCATAGAGCTGGATTGGCATTTGCAATTGAACACCAGAATTGGCAGGCCCACCACTGTCGCCCTGTGCTTTTCACAGATGAGAGCAGGTTCACCCTGAGCACATGTGACAGACATGAAAGGGTCTGGAGAAGCCATGCAGAACGTTCTGCTGCCTGTAACACTGTTCAGCATGACCATTTTGGTGGTGGGTCAGTGATGGTCTGTGGAGGGATGCACAGACCTCTACAGGCTAGACAATGGCACCCTGACTGCCATTAGTTATCCAGATGAAATCCTTGGACCCATTGTCAGACCCTATGCTGGTGCAGTGGGTTCTGGGTTCCTCCTGGTGCACAATAATGACCGGCTTCATGTGGCGAGAGTAGGCAGACAATTCCTGTAGGATGAAGGAATTCATACCATTGAATGGCCCCCCCATGCTCGCCTGACCTAAATCCAATAGAACTCCTCTGGGATGTCATGTTTCGATCCTTTCGATGCCGCCAGATTGCAGCTCAGACTGTCCAGGAACTCAGTGATGCCCTGGTCCAGATCTGGGAGGAAATCCCCCAGGACACCACCCGTCGTCTCATTAGGAGCCTCCCCAAACGTTGTCAGGCATGCATACAGGCACGTGGGGGCCATATAAACTACTGAGGACCATTATGAGTTGCTGCAATGACATTTCAGCAAAATGGACTAGCGTGCTGTATCATTTTTTTCCCTTTGATTTTCAGGGTGTCTTTGAATTCAGTCCTCTGTAGGTCGATCATTTCCATGAAACGATGAGGCATCCTTACGTTCCTAACACATTACCCAGTCCATATTAGTATAGACATCCAGCAGAAGATTCTTCCCTATTGAGATCTGATGGGTCAGAGTGTCCCTTTCATTTTTTGGAGCAGTGTACATTAATTCTTGAGGGTAGGTGCATAAATTGGGGAAGGCTGGTAGGGGCCCCAGTGCATTACTTTGCCCAGGGGCCCATGATGCTATTGTGATGGCCCTGCCCACATATATGCAGCATGAGATTTTTCCCCATTGAGATCTGATCTGTTTTTAAAGTCTTCCTTTCATTTTTTTTTTGAGCCGTGTATATGGACAAGAATTGAGCAATGATGGCAATACATGAGGAAGGAACTATCAACACATAAACAATGGTAGTAATACATGGACAAGGAACAGCCAATGATGGCAATAGATTGGCAAGGAACTGGCAATGCATGGGTAAGGAAATGTCAATGATGGCAACACATGGGTAAGAATCTTGGTTTTGAGAAACGTTGAATGCCTATGTAAAGCTTGGGCCAAGAAACTAAGTTGCGTGAGACTAGGCGTCCTAAGATGACTGCATGCCAGCAATATTGTTATATTTTTTACAAGTGAAGTTCAAGAGACAAAATTCCCTCCTACATAACACTGAGTAAAAAAAAAAAACAATTCACACCCCACAGTTTGAATGCTTAGAAGATTGGAGCTTCATGATAGAAATATCCAACTGAATACCAAGGTGTTTATGTAATTGTATATTTTTTTTTTGTCCATAGTCCTTTATTCTGGAAGTATTTAAAAAGACACCAGAGATCTATAGTAGGACATCATGATGGCGAACCGGCCGCCCCCCTCACATCACCAGGTACGAGGAGACTTTCATTTCTTGTATTGAGGCTCCACTAGATACACACATCCTCTGACAGAAAGACATAGAAACAATGTATTCAGTCAGTGTGTTTGTTTCCTACAGATGGATCCAGTAATGGGAACCCACCAGAGAGATGTCCCCGTTCTCTGTATTCCCAGGATTCCACACAGGAACATCAGGAGATCCCTCAGGAGGATCAGGTAGACGGGATTGAGATTTTTTTTTTCTTTATATATATTTAGATTTTTTTTTTCCTTTATATATAAAAATAGATAATGATTTGCCTCATCGCACATTGGACCTTGTTAAAAGTAGATCGTATTTTTTTTTAAATTTAGGGCGGAGACCTAATTGTTGTAAAAGAAGAATCAGAAGATCCATATGTGATGGGTGATAAGCCATGTAAGCATGAAGAAATTCCCTCACAGATCAGCACAGGTAATAAAACTCAAAATACTGTAATAAAGGGTACTAAACAATGTTCCTGCATTCTCAAGTCCCTCATGCATCTGCACAAAAGGGGGCTTCATTCTCGTTATTCCCAGATGCCAGAGTCACTAAGGCCAGCCACAGATGGTTCGAATCTCCGCTGGTTCAGCATAACTAATAATTAAAAATAGAAAAATTAAAAAAAATTACAGAGCCATAGTCTTTGTTGTTTTTCTACATCCTGGTTGTGTCTACACAGGTACAGCCCCATACACTTCCATGGGGCTCTCTCCCTTCATCTCTGACCTCAAGACACAGCCCCATAGGAGTCTATAGGGCTGTAATGGGCAGGGCAACTTGCGGTGTGGGATGTAACAAAGGCCTTTGTTGTCGGATCCAGAGAAGTATGGATCTGTGGAAGGGGAATAGGTCAGAAGAAAGGGCCAAAAGAAATAATTGCACTTTGTTTTAAATGGTCCTATCCCTTTAATTATCTACTTCTTCCAGGTGTAAAATGCAACACAAATAGCCAGAATACATTTTTCTTTATCTCTGCAGATGAAGACGTGACAACCGATTCAACAGAAGAAACCCCTTTTACCCCAACTATCCTTTCAGTTTCTCACAGTGCTGATCTATTCTCTGATCCCTCTACACATAGGAGGTGTTTTCCTGATCAAACACCTTGTGGCAGCCATCGTTCAGATGGTAGAGAAACGGAGACATGTTCTGAGTGTGGTGAATGCTTTCCACAGAAGGCAGACCTCGATGCACACCGGAGAGCTCACATAGGAGATAACATATATTCATGTTCAGAGTGCGAAAAATGTTTCTCTCGGAAATCCAGTTTTATTCTACATAAAAAATCTCACAGCTTCGTGAAGCCTTCCTATTCATGTTCCGAATGTGGAAGAAGTTTTGCGAGAAGGTCAACCCTTACGACACATCAGAGGATTCACACAGGAGAGAAGCCGTTTTCCTGTTCCAAATGCGATAAAAGATTTTCTACCAAATTGTCTCTTATCATACATGAGGAAGCTCATATGAGGAAGAAGATGTATGCATGTTCAAAATGTGGGAAATGGTTTTTGCAGAAGGAGCAACTTATTAAACACCAGAAAACTCACCCAGCCGAGAAGCCTTATTCGTGCTCCGAATGTGGGAAATGTTTTACGGAGAAGGGCTATCTGATCTCACATCAGATGATTCACACGGGGGAGAAACCGTTTTCATGTTCGGAATGTGGGAAATATTTTACATGGAGGACCAGTCTGATCGAACATAGGAAAGCTCACACGGGAGTGAAGCCGCATTCTTGTTTGGAATGCGGTAAAGGTTTTACTCGGAGATCGAGTCTTGTAGAACACCAGAGGACTCACACGGAGACTAAGCCTTTTTCCTGCTCAGATTGTGGGAAGACGTTTTCTCAGAAACAGCAACTCCTTCGACACCAGAGAATTCACAAAGCCGAGAAGCCGTTCTCGTGTGTCCAATGCGGGAAGTCTTTTCCTGAGAGGGACCATCTTGTTTCCCATCTGATGGTTCATAAAGGAGAGAAGAGGTTTTCGTGCTCAGAATGTGGGAAATGTTTTACTCGGAGATCAAGTTTAATTGCACATCTGAGAACTCACCGAGGTGAGAAGCTATATTAGAGTGTACTTAAACCCAAGAACAGAAATTTCACATTACTGCAGCTAGCTACTCCTTAGATGTGGTGACTACATTAGATTTTTTTCTTCAGGCTTTTTTTCTTTCTTATTTTCACCTGGTGGTCCTGCCAGTTTTTGATATATCAATTATACCTGGGTTGAGGTGTTGAGCCAAAACCTATCTTTTTTGTAAGGAATGTTTTTGTGGTAGGATCCCCTCTCTTTGTTATATGATTAACGAGAGTAGAGCCTGGTAAGATCTTTGCCTTTTTTTTTTTTTTTTTTTTAATTTTTCATGGTCCCACCCAGTAGCACACTTACTGTCCTATGGTGACAACACTCACTGTACTGTACCAGTGCACAGCGTTGTCACCCTGGGCTGCGAGGAGTGTTAAGACTACACCCTTGACTTCTTCTCATCTCTGCAATATAGGGGGAGGTGTTTTGTAGTTCACAGAGGTAACCTAAGTAGAGCTTATGAAAGATCTGAGCTAATGCTGCCAAGGGAAATGACCAGCTCATTGGGTTTCTGGTAGGACCTACTTTTGTTTTTAAATCCCATAAATGCTTTTCAATTTTAACAAAACAAAAGGTGGGTAAAGCTGAAGTATAATCTGCTTTATCTTTTGCTTTGCCTGCTTAATTATACTAATTAAATTATTCAACAAAACCTGGTTTCATTACTTAGCTTTTCTAAACCACTTCCAGTCCAGGCCAATTCTGGCATTCCTCTCCTACATTTTTTTTTTTTTTGCTAGAAAAATAACTTAGAACCCCAAACATTATATATTTTCATTTAGCAGAGGCCCTACAGAATAAAATGGTGGGCATTACATATTTTTATGTCACATGGTATTTGCACATCATTTTTTTTTTTTAAATACACTTTAACAGATTTTAATGCACAAAAACATATTAGACCGAATTGTTTGCGTATAATATAAAAGAGAATGTTACGCCAAGTAAATAGATACCAAACATATCACGCTTTAAAACTACGTCCGCCCGTGGAACGGCGCTAAATTACGGTACCTAGGAATCTCTATAGGCAATGCTTTAAAAGCCTTTACAAGTTACCAGTTTAGAGCTACACAGGAGATCTGGTGCTCAAATTTTTGTTCTTGCTCTGACATTTGCGTCGATCGATGTGTTGTGCAATTGGGACCCCCCACCACCAGTAAGCTCGTTAGCTGCTCGGATTCCTTTTACTTTGTGCAGAATCGTTGGGGCTAAAAAAATGATATGTCGATGACCAAGATATCACCCTTCCCGTCTGTTGACGTTTATAAACGTACAGTGGAGGGGAAGTGGTTACACCTCGTGATGTAAACACTAGGTCTTTGTGCTTCTCTCTGCAATACGAGTAGATCATGATGGGTGGGAGAGACTAGAAGGGTGCTGTACTTCTGTTCCTGAAAAAGGAAGCTGTAGTGATGTCCATATAAGATGCCGAGTCCCAGTGATTGACATTAATGCAATGAATGAAAGGGGCGGGTTATTGAGAGTAAGGCTGGGAAGACCTATAGCTCAGCAATCTGCAAAGCTCATGCTATGTGCATATTGGTGAGCTCTAGCTTTGACTCAGCAAGGGACGTATTGGACCTCTGCAGAATGACCACTGCTTCCACATAGCAAAGGGTCTTCCCTACAGCATGCTGGCAGGGGACAGACTTTTCTACTGCGGCTGTGACTGCTTTCTATAGAAAACAAGCGGTAGACTTTGCACACCTTGTGTTTTGATGAACCTGGAACGTATTTAGCTGATTTGAACTAGAGGCTTGATTGGGCAATCAGGTGGTAAACCCCTTCCCGTCCGGCCCATGTATATAAACAGCCGGACGGGAGCAGTGCAGGGGCGGGTGGCTATTTATAAACGGCCTCCCTGCCCCCTGCTTGTGCATGCTCCCTGGGAGCACGCAGCACCGTGATCCAGTGCCCGCTGTGTCCTCCGGACTCAGTGGAACACCGATCGTTGTACGGGACCTCTGTATGAGGTCCCGATCATGTGATCACTGATTGACCAATCAGTGATCACATGCAGAGTAGTAAGCAAGATGTCACTTCTGACATCATTGCTTACTACGTGTGAAATCTCTGAATGATCACAGAGGTCACATGGTACAGGGCTATTCACAACAGCCTTGTACCATGTGACAAGCTGGGACCAATCACAGCTCTCACAGTAATTCTCAATGGCTGCAAGAATGCAGCCAGAGAGAAGGAGAAATGATTGCTTGCAGCCTTTATGAGTGCAAAAGCAATCGGTAAAAAAAAAAAAATCTTCATAACCCCCCACAAGTAGTACAGTGTCACTATGGTGACACTGTACTGCTAGGGTGACAGTATGTAAAAAATAAAATATAAAAATGTAAAAAAAAATTTTAAAATATTATAATACTTGGTTATAATCGAATTTTGTTGTTTTTTTTTTTGCTAAAGACAACTGAATAAATTTTGGCCGAGATTTATGAAGAAAGATTATTTATTTGCAAAATTGTATCAGAAAAAAACACTTTTTTTTTTCAAAATTTTTGGACATTTTCATTTATATAGCCAAAAAAATAAAAATCCCAGTAGTGAATAAATACCACCAAAATAAAGTTTTATCTGTCTCAAAAAAATGCTAAAAAATTCATATGGGTACAGTGTTGCATGACCGCGGAATTGTCATTCAAAGTGTGATGGCACTGAAAGCTGAAAATTGGCCTGGACAGGAAGGGGGTGAAAGTGACTTGAAGTGGTTAAATAAAGAGACAGATTTTCTATGTTCCAATAACACTTTTTTTTTTTTTTTTTTTGTTCCCTATAGGTAGATCCAGTAACAAAAACGCATCAGAGACCTATTCCAGCCCTCATCATTCCCAGGATTTCACACAGGAGCATCCTACAATCTCACAGGATGATCAGGTAGATGGAATGTAATTGAAGTGAAGCTCTGGGTCCCAGGATAGTAGGAAGAAATTTCACATTATGTTTATTGATTTGTTGGTTATATAGGAGCAGCGTCAAAGGAAATGTAAAACTGAAGATGTAGAAGAAAACCTATGTGAGAGGTGATGAACCACAAGAGGAGTTAGATATCCCTCCAGAGATCAGCAGAGGTGAGTAAGAAACACTAAGGCTAACCATACATTATACAATTTTCTGTCCAATTTCCTTTAGATTTACCTTCAACTATGTAGTGCAAGGGCCTGCCTAATTGCATACAATTGAAAGTGTTTAGGTTTGACCTCATATTATATGGTTTTTGGTAAATCTAAAGCAAAATTCTCAAGAAAATTGTATAATGTATGGCCAGCTTTTATCCAGAGAAGCGCACCGGAAAAACTCACCAACCGCAACCTACATAGATGTGAACCTTCCTAAAGCCAGA